CCTATATCCCCCCAGCTTCCATTTCATTTTCCATTTTCTTTTCCATTTGATTCTCCATTATAGGGGGATAATATACCCTAAACCCTAAACCCTAAACCCTAAACCCTTAACAGCAACCCAGTAGCTCCGCAGCCGCCTCGCGCTCCGAGGCCTCGACGCCCAAGCGCGCAGCGGCGGCCGCCTCCAGAGCCCCAAGTAGGGCTCAGGGGGAAAGGTTTTGGGGGGGTTTAGGGTTTAAGGGCTTAAGGGCTTAAGGGTTTAAGGGTTCAAGGGTTCAAGGGTTTAAGGGTTTAAGGGTTTTAGGGGTTTAAAAGTTTAGAGGTTTCGAAAAACTTGGAGATCCTGCTAAAGCTTGGTTACACAGGGCTCACATACAGGGTAGAGGGATGAATGAAAAGGGTTTAGGGCTTCCAAAAAAAAGTTGAGGGGCCCTTGCTGGGAGGCCGCATAAGAAGAGATTACGCTGGATCTATACCAGGGTCGCCTATTCATTCAACCCCCCCCCCCCGTGATTCTACAAATCCGAAGCTTCGAGCGCCCTGTAGCCGAGACCAGAAATCAGAGCCTGTGAGGCATACACCAGGCATTCTGCCTTGTGCTCCTGCTCCTCGCAAAGGTTTGCAAGACTTCGTGAAGGAAACTGTGAAACTGATGCAGTTACATGAGCTATAGTCTATACTCCCAGTATCCTCCTTAATGACCCCTATAATACTCCCCTATATAACCCCCTACTTTAAGGAGTTTAGACTATAGCTCATACGAAGTGGATCCCTCACGGTCCTCTGCGCTCACCTTCTCGAGTTGTCCGAAGGCTTCGGAGACCTGGCTCTGAACCTCACACAGGCGCCCTCAGATATTAGGGTTATATTGGGATAATGAAAAAGAAAATGGAAACTACTATTGTATGTATTTAGGGTATTTATGTTATAGATGAATATAGGGCTTATTTTAGGGCTTATTAGGGGAGACAGAAGTCCTTGCGTTTGCTGCCTGGGAGCTAGCACCAAGCGCTCTTGCGTCGCCCTGACGGCTCGCTCAGGATATGCCCCGACCTGAGGTGATTGGCTCTGCGACGTTGCCACCACCCTCCTTTAGAATACCTCCTGTAGAATAGGGGTAATGGGAAATAAAATGTAAACTACTACAGTATAATGGGGTGTATAGGGTATGTAGGCAAAGCACCTTCCTTCTAGCCAGAACCGAGGCACTGTTCGAGTTTCCGTCTCGAGGGTCGCTCGGCGATGGCGGAGCTCGTCAAGGCGCTTCAAGGCAGGTGCGAAGCGAGTCCTTGAAAAGGCTTCAGGATTCAGGAGCATGTGGCAGAACTTCAGCGGAACCTGAACCAAAAGTCTGCTCCCAGGGTGTAGGGTTTAGGGTCTTCAGCGGAACTTGAACCAAGAATTGTGCTCCCAGGAGCTGGAGCTCCCAGTTGGCGCCCTGCACTCGCAGAGTCTCGTTGTGCAGTCGCTCTGCCTCGTGAGCCTGTGCGGAAGGTTGCTTGGCCAAAGAGACTTCCATGCTAATCCCCACCCCCTAATGTTAAATGCTCCCATTGTGGTATATCATGATACACTAGGAATATCTATAATATTAGGGGGCATGAGGCTTAATATTAGGGGAGGGGATTACAGGCTCCCCCGGCCTCTTCCTTCAGCTTCTGCTCGCAATTCTTTAAGGTCTCCTTCATCTGTTGCTCCTGCCGACTGCACTGACCAAGCACAAGTGGTAGTTTCCTGAGTAGGGGGACCCCAATATAGACCCCAATATACTATAGTCCTTATTATTGGGTCCCCATAAAGGTACCCCTAATTTCGGGAAACTCCCAAGTCTTGTTCTTGGCTCTTCTCGGGCTTGGATGGGTCGGCAATAGTCTGCATCACAGGATCCCAAATCAACATAAATGAGGGTTTCCCAAAATTAGGGGTGCCTTTTTGGGGATCCCCATAATAAGGTTCATAATATTTGGGGGTCTAAATTGGGGTCCCCCTATTTAGGGAAACAACATGTGACCTTCCTCCCGAGAATGTGATGCTGAGGGATCCCCAGTTCAACGTCCGCTCCCCTGCACCTCGTCAGCACGGGATGCCCAATGCGAGGCTGCGAGTTCCTCGGCACGAGCCTGCAAGCCACCCACATGACACTGAAATCCTTTTCTTCAAAGCTACAGAGCTACCTGGCAGTTTAGAACTCCTAGGAAGGGTTGTTGGGTTGTTGCATGCGAAGTCAGGCTAACCTTCATGTTGCCCGGGGCACCTCGTCCCGATGTCGCTTCTGCTGCTGAGCCTCAGCCAGGGCGGCGGCCGCGCGTCCGCCAGCCTCACGTCAAAGTTCTTCCACAAGATCACCACCTATGTTCAGCCTCCATATCACAAGCTATTCTTTCCAGGTCAAAAAGCTTGGGCTATTCATTCCAAGGCAAACATGAATTTCAATCAGCTGCCCCTTTCAAAAATCTGTCTTGTACTGACTTTCTGGTGATGAAGGGTGCGTGGCGAAGTGGATCCCTAAACCCCAAGCCCTCACCCTACACCGCCTGGTAGGTAGTAGTCCTTCGATACCTCCCTGGATAGTCCCTGCAACCCATTCCTCTTCATTCAACGAAAGGTTCACATGAATCACTACATAATCCCAGTTTCCATTTCATCTTCCAATTTCTTGTCCAGTTGATTCTCCAATTTGGGGGGTTTTGTCCCTAAACTCCTGAACCCTAAACCCTTTCCCTCTCCAAGGAACTATCTGTCAGCAGCCCATTACCCTTAAGCCTAACTAGGGCAGGTTTAGGGGCCCTATCAAGCTTCAATGTCTATGGTATTATATGGATTATATAGGAATTCAGGTTAGCAAAAATTCAACTATGTTCAAACCGACCTTTTTTCTTCCCTTTTATTTGCTAGGAATGAAGGAATGGATCCTTATAGTAGTCCCTATATAGCCCATGATAGTAGTTTCAATTTCTTTTCCATTCCTTCATACCCTAAACCCTGAGGGGTCCCTTCAGTCCCAGCTATAGGCCCCCTTAAGTAGATAGAATATGGCTTTGGGTATATTATAATAAGATCCCAAATAACCCATATTCTATCTACTTCAGGGGGACTGTAAGCAATGGGCCAGGCCTCCTCGGCCTTTCGCAGCTGCACCTGCCCTGCTTCAGCCTGTGCAACCTCCGGGGGTAGCTGCCTATTTCAACCATGCGGAATATGTAACGAATATGTGGGAATTCATCCATGTATGCGGGTTATACAGGGTTTAGGATTTAAGCTCCTGAAAAGGGGGTTGGTTATATAAGGGATATGTAGGGGATAAAAGCGGTTCTATATACTATAATATACTAGGAGATATATAGGGTGATTGTAGGGTAGGGGCTTGCAAAAATTCAGGGAAGCCATGTTTATTCTGGGGTATATTACGGATACCGGATACCCTCATTTTTGGAAAGGAAAGTCGATGTAGCCTCTCAAGCGTAAGATGCCAAAACAGTGTCGAACTCAGTCTGCCAGGTGTTCGGGGTGGAACTACCAGTACGCGAGGGCCTACTGCCACGCCTCCTCAGCAGCTTTGGCAGTCGCAGCCGCGGTCAATGCCCTCTGCTCCTCAAGCTTCAGCGAATCGCGACTATACTGCGGAAGCTGGTGCGAAAATGCGAAACCCAGTCACTCACTGCTCTTAGGGTTTCTGCGAGCTTGACTCTGCAGAAGCAGTCCTCAAAGCTGCGCTTTGCACAGTCTGCCTTCGCCGCAACCTCCTCGATCGCACGACGCTCTCGGCCTAATCGCTGAGGTGGGTCTGCTTTGCCTGTTCCTTATTAGGGACTAAACTACAAGACGGGTCCCTATGTCCACCCTCCATGGTCCCTTGGTAAGGCTAATATTGTCAGTCTGGTCTCGCAGAAGCATGGGATTCAACCGCCAGTGCCCCAACTCGTGGCACTTCATCTCTTAAGGCAAAGTCTGCGTAGTTTGGATGACCAGCCCTGAGGCAAACACCTAGTGACCTAGCACGCCCAAGGCAACAGCATCCCATGACCTCTTCCAGGCATGGCTTGTACCCCTGCATAGTCTCCATGGTCTGGCATAAGTCATAAAGGAATGCTTTTGGAACTCAGTGTGGTGAATGTGAAGGGACACATTGCTGATGCATTCTCTCATACCGCTGCAGACAAGGCATCATTACTTCTCCAAAGAAAAACATCTCCTGAGTCTCTCCACAATTATGCCCAGAAAGCAGGACCCGCGATTCTGACGCGGTCTCAACTGCAGCAACGAAGCTGCAAAGCTTCTTCAGCTGCGCAGTGGCCGGTGTAACCTATCCCAACACAGGTTTGGAGCGAGGGATCTTCCCAAAAACTCAATCAAACGTCCATGAAAAGCAGCCACTGCATGACTTAGTAGACCACATCATCAACAAACATTTGAGCCGCAAAGCCAGGATTTTATTCCGCCTCCACCTCGTCTGGCAACGGTAGGGGTGCAATGCGCGCAAGAGAGTCCTGTTCAAGATCTACTGGTTCAGATAAAAAAAGCGTTCTAAAAGCTGACAAATGTGGATGTCTCCCAAAGATCGTAGAAGCAAGCTATGCCGAATGCAAACCGCTTGCTATAAAATCTTGTTCAGCTATCTGCAGTCTTGCGCATGTCTCGAAACTTTTGGGCTCCATTCTCTTTCGTCATGGGTCCAGAGGTTCAGGGTTTGGGGTTGTTCAAAGGAACAGGTTGCCCGCCTCAGCATCCTGGATTTGCTTCTCCTGCATGCGTGGATGCAGGGATTTCTCAGAATTCATAATTCTTCAGCAACCCCACAGTCAGAATGGAAGCTACTAAATCATATTATATAGAGGTTATATGGGGATAATGGAAGATCAAATGGAAACTACAGGGATTCTAGGGGTTATATAGGGGTTATATAGGGGGTACATTGGGGTAAATAGGGGTTATATGGGGATAATGGAAAATCAAACGGAAGCTACTATAGTCTGGAAGATCCATGCTCCAAGACCTTGGAAAGTCATCCTCTCTTCTACTACAAAGTCCATTGCAGGCCTGCGTTTGTATACGTGCAAGCAGTAGGGCGCTGCTAAAACTCTGTGGTCAGACTTACATTACAGCTCTAGTTCTAATTACCCAACACTATCAGAAACCCCAAGTTATAAAATTCCGGAGATACCCCGGTGCACAACCCATCCCTGAAATCGTGACATGAAAGGTGGTTCAATTGTGATCCCTTGCATGTTCCCTATTCTGGTCCATTTCTGGTTCCCTATCATTGTTATGTGTAATTGTACTATGAATATTGTGAAGCGGCCCGTAGCGCTTAGGGTACTCAAAAGAAAGACGAACCCAACCCTACACCCTAAACTCCCCAAACCCTAAATCCCTA